GGACGATGCCGCAAGTTGGAGCGGCTCAGTCCGCGGAAGACGGGGCGGTAAAATACAGCGCGGCAGGAAGCCACCGCGAAGTAATTTTCTCCCTTCTGCAAGCAGCAGCAGCTTCCATGGCAACAGAGGCCGCCGCGGTGGTCGTGCTCGAGAAGTAAGCTAATCTCAACAGAATCAGAATGCCACAGCTATGCAAGCATTCGTGCGATAATTCAAGGTTGCAATAATACAAATTTGATTGATTATATTAATAAGTGCCATATGTTTTTAAATGATAATAGTTCTGAACTTTTCACAGAAAACATAACATTACATTTATGTTGCAGTCATTTCACAAAGAGACTGTCATATCATGCAAAAAAATTTGCAAATGGTAATCAGGAAATAATATCTGTAGCTGTAAGCTCAATTATTTTTCTTTTAGGTGGAAGATGTAGAGATTTAAACCATGCTCGAAAAATGTTCACTCATATTGTGTGGATTTTAGGTAGCAAGTATTATAATGTACAAATAGATTTAGAGATCAAAGAAATAAATCTATTTGAAAATAATGACTCAGAATTAAACAAGACAATCTTGACTGATACTGATGTTTCAGAAATAAATGATCATGAACCATGTCGAGATCTTTTACGAAATAGTCTATTTTATAAAGATTTCCTTCATATTAAATGCGAAGCCGAAAAGATTATGCCGAAAGAAGGATTTACTAATCGTTTTTGCTTTAAATTATGTAATGGACAAGTATATTTCCAATTATACCTTTGTGGTCAGTTCTAATGCTGGATAATGACAGAAAACATTTGTATTCAAATGCTGCCGTCGAATTATTTTCAATATATTAAAGAACAATATCTGGCATGGTAATAAATATATGAAACCGTCACATTTCATAGATACAATTAAACATTTGTTGACGCTTTACAACAATAATTTAATAAATAAATGCCCTGTAACACAGAAAATTAATTGTGAGAAAAGCAACAAAAGTTATATTAGAAAAAGAAGAAGAAATGCAAGTCAGGAGAAGTTAAGCATGGAAAACAATATTAAAAAAAGCAACACAGTAGATAAAGTAACTTGTAACATTACCAATTATCGATAGTAGTATTAATCATCTAATAATATCTGATAAACTTGTAAATAATCTCATGAATCCATAATCATAGAAATTACAATTTTCGCATATTACGATTGCAATATAGTTGTGAGTAATGCTTACGTACATACAAACATACAAAATACACATAGATGAAGACGTGACGTGTCCAGATAGAGATAGAACCAGTACGCAGATAAGGACGCGTCATGCGAGGAAAAGGTACGCAATACAGACTTCAAGACAAACTTCTTTTACTCTACGCGCTAGAGTCGAAGATGCAACACAACACAAGATATAGTTCCGTGGGAGTGAGCGAGATAGAACGACTGCCGCCCTGGAGAAGAGGGATGAAGTTAGAATAAGACGGCACTACGGTGTAAGAAGATACACCGAGACTTTCGGAATTTGCAAGAATTTTGCAAAAGTAACCCTTAGTATAAATTGGCCTGCAAAAGCAAAAAAGTTGTAATTGATAGCTGACTTAAAAGCCTCAAGTACCATTAACTGTTCGACGCGACTCACGCACAACAGTTCTAGGAGTTTTACACTGTTCGACGCGATTTACGCACAACAGTCCCAAGAAGATTAAAACTGCTCGACGCGACACACGCACAACAGTCCCAAAAAGATCAAAACTGTTCGACGCGATTCACGCACAACAGTTCCAGGAGATCTACAACGGTTGTCGCGCTTAACGCACGACAAGCCATAATCTTTTCGGAACGACAAGCCAGAAGAGGATTAAAACTGTTCGACGCGATTCATGCACAACAGTTCGACGGTGTTGGACGAGATTCAGATTTTCCGCTACTACTAGAGGCCGAAGCACACAGATTAATGTGCGAATATTTTGTATTTAACCTATTCTTGAACCCTGTAATTAATAAATATAAGAAACAGTTACATTACTGCTTTTGTTTTAATTATATTTTCACCGACCAAACATCGTAAGGTCATAAATTGGCGCCCAATTTTGTGGCAAGAAAAAGATTGGATCAAAGTATACAGCACAAATCTGGCACCCAGCAGGAAACTGACCGTCGCAACAGATATGGCCATCAACCTCAGAAAGAAGCTCAGGTAGTTTCGCAAACTGCAAGGCAAGCTTCGATGGAACGCCGAATGCAGAAAGTTGCTGAATTTACTACAGTGATAGCACTCTACAAGGAAATGGAGAACATTAGTAAAGAAAAAGCGCTCATGGGACTCCCGCTACTACTAAAAGACGTCGCAGCCACCTGGTGGCAAGGTATAAAAAGCGAGGTAAGCACGTTTACAGAAGCAATAGTGCTAATAAAATCCTCATTTGCACCTCAGAGACCAGCCTACGCAATCTATTTAGAGATTTTAAACTTACGACAGGACCGTAGCACGCCGACAGATTTATTCGTATGTAAGAAGAGGGCTCTATTTGCCGAGATTCCTCCGCCTGGAATCCCAATAAGCAGCCAATTGGACATGATATACGGGCTGCTACGAATAAATATTCGTGAGCGTGTTCCGCGAACAACGGTTTCATCGTTCGAAGAACTTCTAGCGAGAGCACGAGAGATCGAAGCCAACTTAAACGAGAACAAGAAATGTGTCAACAAAGAAGAAACGCAGAAAGTTTGCACGTTCTGCAAACGAACCGGACACATTGAAGAAAAGTCCGGACCGGACTAAAACCAGGACACAGGCAAAAGCTGCTTCTATGCAAAAAGATAAAGCAAAATACTGATGCTATGGTTGCGGTAAGCCAGGCGTGATCCGCAGTAAATGCCCAAATTGCACAACGAGCCCTTGCGAGAAAGCGGAGATACAAGCGGCAAGTTTCTTCTTTGTGACTTTAGAAGACGGGGGCAAGAAACAAAACAGAGTGGACTGTACATTCTGTAAACAAAGGAGCCATACGACAGAGGAATGTCGACACCTCAAAGCCCAACAAAACAGAAGAAACGCAAACCCTCCAGTAAATTTACAAGCTCCGGTAAATATTCCGAGAGCACATGCTAGACCCGCTGTACCCATCACGGTGCAAGACGAAAAGGGATACGGTTTCGTGGACACTGGCGCCGACCATAGCCTCGCAGGTTATTATTTGTATGAGGTTTTAAGAAAAACTGACCATGAGTTTCAACCGCGAAACATAAAAATGACCATGGCAGACGGAGAAGCAAGGCCAAGGGATGTGGTAGTAACGACCACCATAGTGCACATAATAGGAAGACCGATAGCCACGGAGTTTGTTGCAATACCGACAGCAAGATCAAATTGCACGTTACTAGGCATGGATTTTCTTAGATAGATTATTCAATGACAACACGGCAACGTACGAATTTGTGAGTGACCAAGAAGTAAAGGAAGCCATAGAGAGAATTTTTAGCGGCATTTTCAATGTTCGCGCGTTACGTTTGCGTAACGAAGAATAACTCTATGGTCGCCTAGTTCTCGCACTTTTGAGCGCGGAAATTGTTACACTTAGCTTGTAAATGCTTAGGATTAATTCCTTTTTAAAGCTGCCGTCGAAGGATAAACATCTCTTTGTAAATATAACTATAATATCCTGACGAGTAAATAGATTATTGATAAGTATACGTGCATTATTATTATATGTAATAATTATATATGTGTATTACTTTCAGCTGGAAACATTAATGTTTAATTAATAATTAATGTTTCTAACATTTCAGAAGTGTGAATTACCCCACATGGTGATAAGTTTCGTGTTGTGTTAATATTATTTTGTTTCAATATATTAACGAGATTCGGTTTTAGAAAAGTGACACGGTGTCGAATAACGTGTGTTACCAGTTTAGGTTAATGGGGCTGTTTTAAATCGTATGTCGATTTAGAAACAGTACGTACACCTTGTTCGTGAGAAGCGATTGCTGGAACTTTTCGTAGTTTTGTTTTTTCGTAGACTCATAGTAGGAAAAATGGAGGGAACGCAGACGCATTTAAGAAGTTCCAAAGCATGTTGAACGCGGACAATACGAGCATAATGGGGACACGCGACTAGTTGTTATATGATATGATGAGGGCGTTACTAAGACAGAAGGATAAGCAAACGGGACCGGTATATCACTTGATGACGGATTTGTCGAAAACTTTGGGGCATTTCGACGGCAGAACAGAAAAGGCAAATGAAGGCAAAGGCTGCAAAAGATTGATAGTTTAAAGTCACGGCATGAATGGTCGGATAATATTGCGTTGGACAATGAAATATGCCATTTGGTAGGTGCCGGACGTGATTGGTACGACACGGAGACGAATGAAATAAAGTCGTGGGACAACTTTAAAGAAGATTTCAAGTATGCTTTCACATATGTAGAGGATGGAGATACATCAAAGTGGGAACGCATGAAGAAACGAGTCCAACTGAAGTCGGAAGAAGCCATTGTATACTATCATTCTAAGAGAAAACTGTGCCAAGATTTGAACCTTAGTTTCCGGGAGACTAAACATGAAATAGTTCTCGGACTACGAAATAAGCATTAGTGTTACTTAGAGGCAGGTGAATAAGTCACAGCAATGCCAGACAACTAAGTGTGAGAAGTTAGTAGCACACAGGAAAGCAAGTGAAAGTAGTGGGACGCAAACCAGAGAGTGCCCAGAGCCACTACGAAAACCAACCACGGTAGGAGAATAGCACAGTTTTAAGAGAGAAGAAGTACTCTGGGAAGAAGGAATTGAAGTGTTACAGGTGTAAAGAGAAGGGAAATCGTGCTCGTGCCTATTTGTCCGCTAGCCAATGGCCGCTGACGTAATACGTCACTCGTATTCCAATTGCTGTAGCTGGTGACGTAGTAGTACGTTCTTTTACTGAGTAACAGTGCTTGTGCGGTCATCAAAGAGTTAATTTTGAAGTTTTTAATTATTTATATAATGAAATATTGACTATTGAACGAGATTTATAATGGAACAACAGGCTGTTGAGTATAATAATAATATTTGCAATGATAATAGTGAAGTATATGCAGATATATTATCTGGGGATGAAAATAATATAACAAGTGAAAGTGATGAGTCAGACATTATTATTAGTGGAAAAGTTTTACCTATTGAAAGTAATTCGGAGAAGAGCGATTCCGATGACGAATTTAACAATGACGAATTTATTGGCAATGATTTTTTTGAATTACTTGTAAAGGAAACGAACAGGTGCCACTTGCAAAATGTGAATAAATATAAATATACAAAGAAGATAAAACAATGGGAAGATACCACAATAGACGAAATGAAGAAATTTCTTGCTTTAAATATTTTAATGGGACAGGTGAATAAGAGCAACTTGAACGATTATTGGTCTACGGGTTAACTTATAGAGACACCAGTTTTCGGGAAAGTTATGCCTCGAAATAGATTTAGGCAAATTTTACAATCATTACATTTTTGTAATAATGATATAATATTAGAAACTACAGATGGACAAGTCAAAATCAAATCTATAATAAAATATTAATTAAATAAATTTAATACAATTTATAAAGCAAAGCAAAATCTTTCATTGGATGAGGCAATGACACCCCATAGAGGTCGTTTGAGTTTCCGAGTGTACAACCCCGGCAAAAAATCGAAGTACGGGATGCTTGTCAGGTTGTTGTGTGAATCTGAAAGTGCTTATATCACAAATTTTAAACTGTATAACGGAAATGGGCAGAAATTACAAAACCTTGTAGAAGATGTTTTAGAAAACTATGCGAATATTTGGCACCACGTTTATATGGACAATTATTATTATAGCAGTGTGGAACTGGCGGCAAATTTACTAGAGAAAAAAATTAGGGTATGTGGTACTATAAGAGAGAATCGTGGGTTGCCACGATTTGTTATATACTTTTAATACTTAATACATTTTTAATACTTATATACTTGCTATGAAATGTTTCTGACATATATTTTTATCGATTTTTTATTTAATGATAACTATATACAATATAAAAACATTGCAAAAATAAAAAAAGGTAATAAATTAAAATTAAAATACTTTTTATTGCCTACGTAAATATATGAAAAATATTGAAATCTTAAGTTTTTCATTCATTGAAATATATTAGTCAAAAGCTTATACGCCGAATGAAAATAATCAATAATAATAATTATTATTTTATTCGGCGCGTTGGATTTTTTATTATGACTAATGAATATACTTATATACAAAATATAAATAAATTTTGGATTTAATAAATATTTCCATACTTATATACCAGAATTTGTCGAGATGCGCGTAACGACGAGTCTTATGCTTGCTCGTCGCTCTTGCAAAGCTACTTTATATGGGTGTTCTTGTACCGGCAGCGCGCGTACTAGCTTAAGTTTTTCCAACTTTTCACCCAAAGTTCCGCTTAAATTTAAATGAATTTTTGAATAACAGAAGAAATATCTACAGGCTTTCGAATGATGCTAATATAAAAGTAGTCCAAAAAGCCGCACTGGTAGAAAATGAAAAATGAAAAATCATTTTCACCTTTTCACGCACTAACAAATAATTTTTTCACATGATTTGTTATGAACAACATAGACAAGATCAGTATAAATAAAATGACGTTAACAGTTTTTCGATGTCTCTCATATTTACGACAAAAAGTGAGTTTGAAAAAAGGGGCCACTTTCACATGTTTTCACTGATATCTCGGCCAAATGATGAGCTACGGATTTGAAATTTGGTATTTCGAATTTTCTCGAAAATACCTATAAAATGGCATCAAAATAATTTAAATAGCAGGGTGGGGCCAATTCTGTATGGAAACACGCCCGGACCTTTTAGGCAATAAGTCGCGCAATGCTTCAAGTAAGTGTATTCTTGTTAGCAATTTATCGTGTATTTTTCTTTTTATTATTATTGAATAATTTAATTTTAATTTTTAATTTTTATTTTTTAGTGTTTTATTTTTAATTAAAATTAAATTATTTTAGAATAGTTTATTTATGTAAATTCCAAAAACTTTTGTGTCATTGTTATTGCTCTTTCTAAAGTAATTTTTTTCCGTGTGAATTTCTTATAATAAAGTAATTATTAAAATATTCTTTATAATTATAAATTTTTTTCGGCAGAGCTTCGTTTAAATCACTTTATGCCGAATATTTTAACAATTATATAATTTGCCTTATTATAACTACTGGTTTATAATCTTTTTTCTGACAATTAATTATATTTTTTGTTTATATATTTTTATACATCTTGCCAGCATATAAACCGGCAACTTTTTAAGAATTATTTTATTTTATTCAATTCTTTAAAATCTTTTGTTGGAGATTGTTATCACAAATTATCGCAGCAAATCGGAACAATGCAAGAGGAGATAATAAAATTACAAGGATTAGTGGCTAATATGGGAACTTACCCCGTTGTTACATCTGATGAAGAACACGGTCTAGTTATACAATTCAAACATTTGGAAGACTTTCAATCATTCAATGAAAATCTGAAAAAGAATGAGTCTTTAAACAAATACATGGTAAGTAAAAAAATGACATTATCTCGCGGAAAACGTTCTTTCAGATCCATAAATTTTTTAGCTTGTTAGACAAGGAAGCAGCATAGGAAGCATATTTCTGTTAAAAAAGTGTTAGAAAGATTTCTTAATAAAAGTTTTGAAACATTTCACAGCATCTAGGCCTACATCAAATAAATTAATACTGAAAGACACTGAATTTGTGAAGTGTTTATACGGTATGTATTATTCACACAGTACACACGTATGATATTATTATTTATGGTTATACGTTTTGTTACAGGTATAATGACAACTGAATCAATTAAAAATCCGCGGTTGAACCCAATTAAAGAGCAAACATTTAATCAAGCCCTCGAAAAGGTTCGAGGGCTTGATTAAAAATATTCAAGCCCTCGAAAAGGTTCGAGGGCTCGAAATATAAACTATTCTCGTGATTGGGAGAATGGGAGGGATAGATCTTAGGCGTAACAATAAAAATGAAAAAGTCCAAGAAGATAAAAGTTAATAAAATATTACCTAGTTAACATGTGTTATTTATTATTATTATATATTAAAATATTGTTATCGAAAGAATTAATAAAGAAAATTAGCATATGCGTTTCTTTAATGGGCCATGCCAATTATGTTTGTCAGGGCCACATCAAATATATTTTTCAGGGCCATATCAAATATATGTTTCAGGACCATATCACGTATGATTTTCAGGACCACATCAAATATATTTTTCAGAGCCACATCAAATATTTTTTTCAGGACCGTATCACATATTTTCAGGGCCATTTCATATTTTCGATTAGGGCGCGGAACAGTTTGCCCAACATAGACCTTATCCGGTAAGGAGTTACATATCGCATATCGCGAAGTACAACTAAATTCACTCATTGTTAATATATTCCGTCAAACCCCGCTAAATTAAACCCGGAATTAAAGTATGGTGGATATGTGTGGCACTTAGTGGTACCGCATAAAGAATCCGGTAGAAACATCACAATGGATAATTACTTCAGTAGTCGCCCACTGGCAAAATTTTTACTATCTTGAAACTTGATAATTGTTGGTACCTTGAAGCAAAATAAAGCTTGCATTTTTTTAAATCAGATAATTAAATGAAATAGTGACTTTTTTCAATTAAAATGGAATTCAAGTCGCGCAACTTTTTGAGCTGTTGTATTAGTAGTTTAACTTCAATAAACAAGCGCAATTACTTTATTATTCACACCCTTATTGACCTAGAGTAAGGTCGGACAACACTATACGAAATTAGCCGAAGTTCATCGAGGACGCTCGAAATTGAGTTATAAAGGCATATTCTTATCTATGGGCACATTGTTTGCGCCGGTCGCGTTGTGTTTTTTGGACATTAACTATCGTAATATACCGCAGGATTACGTAGCCTAGAGAAATATACTTTTTACAGGCTTAGATGTTATGCTTTCACAATTTATTTTTATATTTATCAATTTCACATGATTTGCTGAAATTGCGATTTTATAATTTCGTGTATTTTGTCAAACTTATTTATCTTTTTATGCCGACAATAAATTAATCATGAATCAACAAAGTTCAGTTTAGTGTTAGCTTAAAAAAACATCGGTTGATACCGCTGAATGCAATTTTTGCAAGAAACAACTGAAGTGCTGTGGAGGAAGTACTAGCTCAATTCGAAAACATTTTAAGACTATTCATAGTATTTTCGATAATGAGAAAAACTCTTCCGAAACTTCAACTTCTAGAAAGCGACAAAGGTAAATAATTTATCAGGTTTTAATATTTAATCAATATTCATTTACTAATAATTTTTATTTAATTGACTCTTTTTGGAGCAATCAAGTCCACAATCAAGCATAAAAGTTTTATAAAATCTAATTTGGAACACAATAAAATTAATATCAGCTTATACGTAATCAACATGTAGTGATATGAAAAACAATATTTTTGCTTAACATATACAGGGTGGCTGATATGTAATGCAACAAAGTAAAGAAAGCGCTATAACTTTGTCATTTTCATTTTAAATTTTATTATTCAAAAGCAAAAATGTCGGAAATAACATTAAATTTTACAATCAGTGTATATTTGTTCTAATTGGCCACCTTTGGCACGAATTATGGCCTTCAAACGGCAGAAAAACCATAACACGCTGCACGAAAGTGGCTCTGGGGTATTTTAGCCCATTCCCGGCGAGGCGCCTTCTTGGGATGATCGACACTTTGGTATTTTTTAGTGTGAACCTTACTCTTCAAAATGTCCAAGACACAAAAGTTCAGCGAATTTAGATCCAGAGATTTTGGTGGCTATTTTGCGATGGAAATAAGGCGAAAAACCTCTTTTACAAGCCATTTTTGGTAGACGCGTACTGAGTTTGATGATGCTGAGTCCTGTTACAATGTCCATGGTCTGCGACCGAAATTTTTGTCTATCCAGGACTTCAATACTGCCTTTAAGCACCATTACCGTCGGCGGCGCTTGAGTTCTGGTGGCCAATCAAAGGTGTAAATTTGTAGCTGACCCTTTTGGAAAGTAAACCCTATCATTTTGTTTGTTCACAAACTGCTCGATTTGGAAGGACTTCCCATTTGAGCAAACCAAATTCGGTAACTAGCCACTTTCGTCCAAGCGAAGCAACCCCTTGGCTCCTTCCCGTTTAACTTTTTTTTGTGCATCGATGAGCTCTTGCACTTTTTGGAACTTCAATGGCTTTAGTCCAAGCTCATTTTTCAATTTGTGTTGCATCCGTTTTTGCGATATGTTCAGCTCACAAGCCATTTTTTTACGACTGCGACACGAATTTCGATCGATTTTTGCCTATACTTTTTGGATCATTTCTGGGGTTATTAGTGTTTTTTTTCGTCCACTTTTTGGACGCGGTGCAACACTGAGTGTATCACGGTTACGATGTATGGTACGAGAAACAAAATATTTGTTCGCATTTAAATGTTGGAGGGCTCTCAATATAGCCATTTGAGGTTTTCCAGCCAAGTATGAAGCAATCGCACTATCACGCTTGACTTTCATCACGAATAACTTTTTTTCTGAGTGCAATAGATCAAAATGCTTTTGTACGCTTGTAAACAATTAAATGAACGATCACTGGAATAAATCTGTCATCTGTCTGATGAGCGGTTTAGAAATTATTGCGGTCTGAAATTGGTTGCAATACATATCAGCCACCCTGTATTCAGACACAGTGCCAATTACAACGACTTTTTGCATAGATTTTTGTAATATGTGTTGGTTTTCAATCCTTGACAGAAATAATACATTTTTCACAAATTGTTTTAAAACTCATAGTTGGTATGACTATAATTCTACCAAATATTGCAGAAGTTGCATTAGTTATCCAACACTATACTCATATTTTTTAATCAGTCTTGTGCCAGACATCGTAGAGTGCACATCGTTTAATAACAAGTGTATTTACAATCCGAGTTATGCAATCGAGGGCCCACGGGCAGGCCTTAAATATCAAAAAGTGGCACATACCTTTGGTTACTTCCGAAAAATTACACCTACTTGAAAGGTAAAAAGCATGTAGCTACTGTGCCAGTAAAATTGAGTCGTCCTGAGGAGGATCACCACAAGGCTCATCTCGTGTGTTTTTTTGTGTCTCCACAATAAGAGATCATTGGAGACACTTGCATCCATTCTCGGGCCAAAACAAGCATGCTTTTTGTCGCAGAAGCATAAATCCCAGGTGCCAATAGGTTTGACAGCGGCAAATAAGCAAGCCCCGCTCTTGATGCATTGATTACAGAATTTCATTGCCTGATCATGATTGGGTCGTTGGTTCGAGGCATAAATTGGGCCAGCTTATATGCTGGGTGCATCATAAAAGAAAATGAGATGGGCCGTCCTAAAGCAGTATCATATTCAGGGCCAACATACACAGCAATCAGAAGTGGAAAACACTCCTCTTCGACAGCTTCCAATCATGCTGTAGACTTGGATAAGCTTGCTGCTCTCGATAATTTTAAGGGAATTATGCGAGATGAACAAGGACACATGAAAGCAGTGGTTTTCATATCAGCTAATCAGGGGCCCTAGGAAAATACGAGGTATCCCAAAGTTATTGCCTATGGCATAAACCTAACATACCATAATATTTTGTCAAGAATGAGCTTGATGCAATATTCGTCGTTACAAATGCACCTGGCAGAAGCGCATTGAACCGCGTTGAGAGATGAATGGCGCCTTTAAGCCGCCAATTATCTGGTCTAGTACTTCTTCATGATCACTTCGGTACAGATTTAGATGAGCAAGGAAAATTCGGGCTGTTCTTTCACCCAATATTGCAGTCATCTAAAGGCCTACAAATTTCGAAGCCTCAAGACCATGATGGCAAGTCGTTTGCCAAATTTCTTATGCGTAAGTCTCTTAGAATCACTCCAGCGCATGATAGATTTTCTAAATTGCCTTACGATTTATATTGCCCTAGTCTGCAGAAGGACCGTAAACAACTTTTGAAAAGGACATGTCAGATATGTGGATTGTACCTTTGTACGAAGAAGAAAGTTAAGGAGCATATTAGCACATGTCACAAACAAACTATTAATCCCATAATTAGTAGTACAGAGATACGCAAGATTTGTCCTTCACCTATCCTCATTAAGCGATCCATAGGTACATCGAGAGAGGTTCTTTGTGTTGTGAATAAACATAATAACTCCGAGTGGCTTGAAGAAATTGATGTTGATCTTCAAAAAAGTACATTACAACTGACTTGCAAGACATTTGTCCAGTTGTTAGTATTAAAGAATGTCTTACTAATCCATGGTCAGAGGATAGTGTACAATACATATATCATGTAATATATACATATACATATATACCATGGTCAGAGAATAGTGTACAATAAATATATCATGTAATATATGCATATACAGGTGTATAAATTTCAAACCGCCTTTACTGATGGTCATATTAATTCATATATAGATAACTGTAGTAGTCTGTCAGTTTTTTCTTATTGTTTTGTATCTGTCCATAATAAAAAAAAATACCCACTGTATCAATATTCGTACCAGAACATAGCTTTTGATCATTTTGAAAATGTCGAATTCAGCGCCAGAAAATGTGGTTTTACGTTTTTTCCTTCTTTCATTTGAAAAAAAGTGCTGCTGAAAGTCATCGTTTGTTGGTGGAAGCTTACAGTGACCATGCTCTATCCGAAACACAGTGCAAGGAGTGGTTTATAAAGTTTTTATAAAATCGTGAGTTTTCTGAAAATATTTTGTACTAAAGTAGTGAATCTGCTAGAATCCATCACAAGATGTCTATAATGAAGTA